GATTTCCTCACGACCAACATGGTCCAACCTGGTTGGAATCTGCAAACAAGGCGACACCTATTTAGAGACATACACTCAAAAATGAAGGGAAGTGTTGAAGTATACTTTGTGCCGTTATCATTCATGCATTCCTGATATTATCCTTCGACTATACTTGTAGCGCGAAACCTCATATGGAAGGACGCGCGTGATGACGTCAATAGTATCGAGTCGACACGTGAACAGTAGGTTCGAACGTATAGACACCCAAAGGATCACGCAACTCTCAATCACACGAACATACACTAGTCATCTCGCACGAATAGTCGCGATACATTACGAGCAGGTACATTCCGAATAGGTACTTCGACTATAAATTGTTCGAATACTAGAATAAATGAAAGCAAAAGAGAACACGCAAGATATAGGGTTGGGTTGTACTCTCTAAGAACATACACCTATTCTAGCCTATAACTTCTACATGCAAAATGTATTTATAGGTTGACACACCCCTTAGCCTAGATAAGGGGTAGTGCTAAGCAAGAAGCACACAGCTCGTGGTGGCACTACTAGTCCAACCTCTGAGACAGGGGTCCGAAGACCAGTCAGCAAGAGTACAAACAAGATACGAGCAAACTAGGGCGGCACTGCTAGTCCGGCCACTAGGAGAGGAGCTACAAGGCCAGTCTGAAAGTTATTTATAAAGAGGAGTACACAATCAAGGTCCTAGCAAGTAAGGAGCTACAAGAACTAGACCAAGCTACAAGCACTGCCGCTGATGATCTTTAGGCGCAAGCGTCTTAGTAAAGATATCAGCTGTGTTGGCACCGGAGGCCAAGTGTACTACGTGGGCCTGGCGGCGCTGCTGTAGCTCACGTAGGAGGAAGTACCGCATCTGGATGTGCTTTGCTCTGCCCTCAAGTCGAGGCTCCTGGCACATGAGGATCATGGCCCTGTTGTCAGCGTACAGAACCGGGGCAGATCTAAGCCGCTCACCTAAGTCGGTGAGCAAGAACGTCAGCCAGCGTATATCTCTGTCACAGGATCGAATGTGTCGAGGAAAGGTTGCACTATCGATTGATACAAGGCGCTTTTATACTTCCAAAGTACATCAGGTAACCAGGTTTATCTTATCCTAAAGGAATAGACCCTTCTAGAAAATAGAATCACCCTGCGTATAGGCACACGAGGCTATTGGCTTTAAGGGATTACGGCAGGATTACGCTAGATATAGCGTACGAGTACATCCCGAGCCTGGTCGGTGATATAATGATAATAACAGGATAAACCAAAAGTTTATGGAAAGGAAGGATGGGGAATCCAAATGGAATGAGAGAAAGACCAAATGAATCGGGATAAAAAGAGGAATGAAATGGAAAGGAAAGATGGAAAGAAGAAAGTAATGGAACGAGGTCTTACTCTTACAATCTCGGTCTCACAGCTAGACTGGGCAACCGATGAGGAGCGAGTGGCCCTCCACGAGATGGCACCCGAACCAAGGCTAAAACAATAGCCCTGGGAGGGCCTGACGGTCTCACCGTCGTCTGCCCAAGAAGCGTCTGTGTGCCCAGCAAGGACCACCGGCGTGCATCCTCCTAGCTCTAGCCCCATGCCCGATGTATTCGCTAGATAACCCATAACCCTCTTAGCGGCCGACCAGTGCTGTGGTCGGTGTCTGCCGGTGGCCACAAGGCGAGCCCGGATGCTTATAGGGTGTGCGAGATCTGGACGAGTGCAAGTCATCAGGTATATGAGGCAACCCACCAGCTCTGAGTAAGAACAATTGGGCTCTACTGACTCCTCAAGAACTGGAGCCGAGACTCTGTGCTCTACTGGCAGAGGTGTGGGCTGTGCGGAGGAGAATTGAAGACCGAACCTTTGAAAGACGTGGTGCACCAAGTGTGACTGTGTGAGAGTGATGGTGCGCGCTGTTCTTGTTATAATCACAATAGGCTTAGATGTGCCTATAATGAGAGATAGAGAGCACAGTCGGATTTCCGTCAGACTGCTTCAAATATTGATATCGTTCTGGTCGCTGAATGAAACAGTGATCTGTAAGTTGGATCTGGAGCGCGTTGCTGTTGTCTATCAGCAGCAAGTTGAATCATGAAATTTCATGAAGATTTGACGACGCTATGGCGGTTTGACTGGCAGGAGGTACAGTAGCCACTATAGTCTTAGGAGTACAAACTTAGCAAGAAGAGTTCGAGAGGGAGATGGTTCCCAGCCTCTACATACCCCAAGAGCCGAGGTCCAGGTTGGTGGTACACCACCACAGAGTCCCCAACCATGAAGAGTTTCGAAACCAACCCTCCAAGGGGCTACACCAAGTGAAATGTAACACTACACGAAGTAACGTTACTATTTTCTCTATTTAATATTTATCCGCGTCCCTTGGGCTTGAAATCTTGAGCTCTTGTTCCTGGATCTGCAAGATAAATTCTTCTTGAGTTGATGGGGGCTTGCTGCACACACCTGCGACACGATGGACACTTCACACTCGACAAAATAGAAAAAACACATGCGACACACAAACGACGACTTGACATGCGAGTTGTAAAAACTCGCTAATGTCTTGACCGACACAAACCACATTGTGATACACCATTCAAACACACACACAAGCACTGGATAGCAATGGCATAGACTCACAATTCATTCCATGCCATGCATGCACACACACAAACAAGGACGACAAGCCGAGTGCAAGCCATAGGGTTGCACCAACAAACTCCCCCTCGGATTGTTGGCCTTAGAATCTGCTCCCCTTAGTTCAGAGCCATCCCAGCAAGCTTGCAACACTTCCAATGCTGCTGCTCAACCAGCCTCTTGGTCATCATATCAGCGGGCTGTGCCGTCGTCTTCACGTAGTGCAACTCCACTTCACCCGAGGTTACCATGCTCCTCACCCAATGCCACTTCACCTTCATGTGCTTGGTAAGGCCATGAAGAACCGGATTCTTAGCCAATGCAATAGCATCCTGGCTATCACAATAGAGTGGGGTAGGTCCTTGCTGCTCCTCCCCCAATTCAGCTAGTAGACGCCGCTGCCACACAACCTCCCTTATGGCACGGAAGAGTGCCATGTACTCGGACTCCACCGAGCTCAATGCTTGGTCCACTTGCTTCTTGCTCTCCCAAGCTGTTGGGCCTCCACCAACACAGCAGATGAAGCCTCCCACACTTGTCATGTCCTCTGGTTCTGATGCCCAAGATGCATCAGAGAAGGCGGTGAGAAAGAGCCTCCCGGGTTCGACTCCATCCGCACCCTTTTGACGCCTTTGTGCCGCTGCGGAGTATTGCAGTCCAGCAGTTGCTGTTTGGCCAAGGTACTTGGCCACCCTCTCTCCAGCTGCTACCTGCTCTTCATTGGGGCATTGGACCACCCTAGCCAGCTGCCCGGTAGCAAAGGCTGCATCCGGCCTTGTGTGAACGGCCGCATACATGAGGCTGCCCACCAAGGAGTGAAAACGCCGCCTCTCCTCTTCACCAACACTTTCCTCCGCTGGTCCTTTCACACACTTGAACCCTGAGGGAAGAGGAGTAGCCATATGACCTTCACTCTTCCCAAAGTTTGCAGCCAAGGCCTCCAAGTACTTCTTTTGATGCACTCGCATCCACCGCTTCTCCACATCTCGCTCAATGTGAAGCCCAAGGTAGTAGTTGACGTCACCAAGGGTCTTGCACTTGAACTTGTCTTGAAGCTTCAGCATCACCTCCTTCACAAGGTCAGAGGAGGGTGAGAATATGAGGATGTCATCCACATAAACCACCATGAAGCTCCTCTGCTCCCCCTCGCCAAGCATGAACAAGGATTGATCGGCCGTTGAGGGAGTGAAGCCGATCGCCTCCAAGACTTCCCGCAGCTTGATGTACCATTGCCTAAGGGCTTGCTTGAGGCCATAGAGTGCTTTCTTCAGCTTCCACACTCTGCCACTCCCATCATTGTACCCCTCTGGCTGCTCCATGTAGGTCTCTTCCTCCAAAACGCCGTTGAGGAAGGCCGTTACAATGTCCATTTGCTTCACCACCCATCCTTTGATGGCCGCCGCGGCGAAGAGGGTTCGAAGGGTTGTACCCTTCACCACAGGGGCATACACTTCATTGTAGTCGTTCTTCTCTTGCTGCTGATACCCCTTGGCTACAAGTCTGCTCTTGTAGCGCTCAATGTTGCCGTCGGCGTCGGTCTTGCGCTTGAAGAGCCACTTGGAAGAAATCGCCTTCCACCCCGGAGGTAGGTTCACCAAGTCAAACGTGTCGTTCTCGATGATGCTCCCCATTTCTTCATCTGAGGCCTTCTTCCACTCCTTCCCATTGGGGCCCTCCCAAGCCTCCTTGGGATTTGTAGGCTCCCCCAGTATCTCCACCGGAGAGAAGAAGGCAAAAGCGCACTCCTCGCTTTCATCTTCCGCATCATCGCCTAGCATGAGGGCCGAACCGGTCAAGGTTGAGTTGGCTGGTCCTCCAAGCCGTTCATAGCTCAACCTATTGGGGGGCTGAGTCCTCCTTCTCCCCCTTCCTTCCTCCTCTGCTGCAGGGACTTGAATGCTCTCATGGCTTTGCGGTAAGTCCGGTCGGTTCCCGCGAGCACTTGTAGCACGAGGCGGAAGTGGCGGTGCACACTCATTACCTTGCTGCACCTCCTCCTCCTCCTCATCCCCATTCATTTGGGGAGATTGCCTCGTGATTGTGCTGCTGCTACTCAGCTCCAAGGGCAGCTCCACATGCTCCAAGCCGGTCCTCTTCACCTCTCCAAGCCGCACACCAATCTTCGCTTGGTTCTCCGCCTTCCACTCCTTGTACGGTAAGTTCTCCATGAACTTGCAATCTCTGCTCACCAGGAACTTCTTGGTAAATGGGTCCCAAAGTAGCCATCCCTTGCTGTTTTGAGCCATGCCCAGGTGCACGGCCCATGTTGCCTTGGCATCAAGCTTGTTGTGCCGAAGTTTCTTAGGCACAAGTGCCATGCACATGCACCCGAACACCCGCAGCATATCCACCTTCGGCTTCCTTCCAATCCACTCCACATAGGGCACCCATTTGTCTTCTCCCACTTGAGTCAAGGCTCTGTTCTTGGCCACACAAGCATGCCGCACCGCATCCGGCCAAAAATAATTGGGTAGACCGGCTTCAATGAGAAGTCCCCGAGCCGTCTCCGTGAGTGTCCGATTCGCACGCTCGGCGATGCCGTTCATTGCAGGAGAGTAGGGCATGGTAAGAGAGTGCCTTATGCCCTGCTTCTTCAGCCAAGTTGAGAAATCCTTGCTCAGGAACTCTCCCCCACGGTCAGTGCGAATCGCCTTCACAAGTCGGTCTTGTTGCCGCTCCACCATCGGCAACCAATCGGTCTTCACCGTTTCAGCTACGTCACTCTTCTTCGGCAGCACATACACCCAAGTCATGCGAGTGTAGACGTCCACAATGGTGAGGAAGTACTCAGCTCTAGCAGCTCCAAGCTTCAAGGGGCCCACCACATCCATCACCACCTCATCAAGTGGTGCCTTCGCCGTTGTCTCCGAGCTATGGAATGGGTAGCGGGTGAACTTGGCTGGCATGCATGTTGGACAGCCAAGCACCTCATTGGGCTCCCCCTTGACACGTATCCCACTGACCATCTCTTGCTTAACAATCTGCTGCAAAATGGGCAATGCCACATGCCCCATTCGCCGATGCAAGGTCAGCCAATCACACTCTCCCGTAGCGGAAGTCGGGTTGGAGAAAGCGGCACTCGCAATTGTGCCCCACAAGCTCTCTCCTTTCTCCTTCGCCGCTGCTGCTTTGTTGATCTTAGCCTTCTCCTCCTCATTTCCACCACCTTTGGCTGCTGCACCACTCTCCTTGGGTTCACACGCCTTGCTGGTCTCTCCAAGGTTGCACTCCTTCGAGTCACTCTTGGTGTCACTTTGCTTTCCGTGATCACCGCCACCAACCGCTTCACGCTTGGTGCTGACGCTTGCTGCCACTTGCCTCTCTTTAGGCATGGGGACCACTGGGATTTGCCACATCTCATTGTAGATGTCCCTGTCCTCATGAAGGTCCCAAAGCTTCCGCTCACCAAGCCTTACGGTATAGGTTTTGGATCCCTTGGAAGATGTGTCCATGCCGGCCTTTTGCAAACGCCGAACGGAAATCAGGTTGGCTGCTAGGTTAGGCACCAAAAGCACGTTCTTGAGGCCCACCATCTTCCCATCAGCACCCTTGAACATGGCCTTGCCCATGCCTTTCACCTCTGCTCGCTGCCCCAAAGCCGATGTAACATGCTTGACCGGCGACGGTTCGAGTTCGGTGAGCAAGTCCGCACGAGGTGTCATGCTATAGGTGGCGCCGCTATCGATCACCCAAAAGTCCAGAGAGTGAAGGGTGACCTTTCCCACAGTAGCTGGCTCCTCAAAGCCTTCCACACCTCTTGCTGCAGCTGCCGCTTGCATGGAGACAAAGAAGAATTGGCCCGGGTATCGATCTTCACTGGAGTCCTTGTCGTAGTCTCCACCTTTCATGCTTGCCGCTTCGCTTCCACGACCACCACGGCCTCCACGACCTCTGCCTCTTCCTCCCCTTGCTCCTCTGCCCTCTTGGCCTTGAGAAGGGGTCCATCCATCAGGCAATCTGAAGCAATCTCTCCACATATGGCCGGTCTTGTGGCAAAAGTGGCATTCGCCATCAAATCGACCGCGCCCACGCCCGTAGCCATTGTTGTTGCTGCCATATCCTCCATTACCACGGCCTCCATTGAAGTTGCTGCTGCCAAATCTGCCTCCTCGCCCTCTGCCCCTTCCACGGCCGTGCCCACGGCCCATGCTTGCAACTCCGGCACCATCGGGACCCGCCAATTCGCGACGGCGGAAATCTTCTTGTAAGATTTCCCGCTTCACATCTTCGAGTGAGAGACGGGGCAGATCTCGATTAAGGTTGATGATGAGCGAGGACCATGAGTCCGAAAGCAAGGCCAGCAGCTTGGTCTTCTTTTGAAGGTCACTGTAGTTCAGGTCAGCTCCTTCGAGCCGTGTCAACAAGTCGAAGAATTTCTGCACTCCTTCCTCCACCGGTTCGCCTTCGTCAATTCGAAGTGCCGCCATTTGCCGCTCCAAAACCACAGCCACCGCCGCTGTTGCAGGAGCGTGTACACCCTTGAGAGCAGCCCATGCCTTTGGTCCCTTTGCTGGTTCACACTGAAAAGGCTTGATGTGACGGATTTGGCTGCTCCCCAACGCTTGCCCAAGTAGAAGGTAGCCTTGTGCGCTCTTCCGCACCCACGGGCTCTTCTCCGGGTCGTTCTCGGGGCGCTTCTCCGTTCCTTCCATCACCTCCAGCAGATCATAGTGGTCAAAGATGTTCTCCATCTTGAAGGACCACTCAGCAAAGTTGTCACCGTTGAACTTGTCAAGGCCAAACACTCTAGGCTCATCCCTAGAGGGTCCAAGGCTAGGTTGCACCGGAGCAACGGGTTGATCTTGGTGTTGACCTTGTGCTTGGGCGTCTTCTTGCCTCCAGCACCTCTGCCACCCCCTTCCTCAGGTCTAGGCATGGTCGAGAAGGCTCCAAGGGGCTCTGATACCACTTGTTATAATCACAATAGGCTTAGATGTGCCTATAATGAGAGATAGAGAGCACAGTCGGATTTCCGTCAGACTGCTTCAAATATTGATATCGTTTTGGTCACTGAATGAAACAGTGATCTGTAAGTTGGATCTGGAGCGCGTTGCTGTCGTCTATTAGCAGCAAGTTGAATCATGAAATTTCATGAAGATTTGACGACGCTATGGCGGTTTGACTGGCAGGACGTATAGTAGCCACTATAGTCTTAGGAGTACAAACTTAGCAAGAAGAGTTCGAGAGGGAGATGGTTCCCAGCCTCTACATACCCCAAGAGCCGAGGTCCAGGTTGGTGGTACACCACCACAGAGTCCCCAACCATGAAGAGTTTCGAAACCAACCCTCCAAGGGGCTACACCAAGTGAAATGTAACACTACACGAAGTAACGTTACTATTTTCTCTATTTAATATTTATCCGCGTCCCTTGGGCTTGAAATCTTGAGCTCTTGTTCCTGGATCTGCAAGATAAATTCTTCTTGAGTTGATGGGGGCTTGCTGCACACACCTGCGACACGATGGACACTTCACACTCGACAAAATAGAAAAAACACATGCGACACACAAACGACGACTTGACATGCGAGTTGTAAAAACTCGCTAATGTCTTGACCGACACAAACCACATTGTGATACACCATTCAAACACACACACAAGCACTGGATAGCAATGGCATAGACTCACAATTCATTCCATGCCATGCATGCACACACACAAACAAGGACGACAAGCCGAGTGCAAGCCATAGGGTTGCACCAACAGTTCTGTCCCTGGAGATCTGCAGGCCAAGGTAGTGGCGCAGCTCTCGTAGGTTAGTGCTGGTGTGTCTCCTCAGCAGCTCGGCCTTCACGGAGGCCAGTGCATCTCTGTCTGCAGCAGCGAAGACCAGGTCATCTACGTAGACAAGGATGTAGAACGGAATCTAGCGAGCACGAACGAAGAGTGAAGGGTCTCCAGAGGACAGAAAGAACTGCAGGTCAGCTAGCGTAGCACGCAGCATGTCTTGCCACTCACGGGGCGCCAGTCCCAGGCCGTAGACTGGGCGTCGGAGGAGCCACTGGGTCCCAGGAGGGAAGGTACTGGTGAAGCCATGTGGTCGGCGCAGGTAGACCTGCTCGTGTAGGCTACCCTGAAGAAAAGCAATGGAGAAGTCTAGGGAGTGGAGCTCGTAGTCACGGTGTATTGCTACGTATAGCGGAGCTCAAAGAGTAGTCATCTTTGGGGTCGGGTCAAATGTCTGAAAGAAGTCCACCCCCTCTCGCTGAATGAACCCTCTAGCCACATAGCGACCCTTGAAGACAGGCAGCTCTCCTGGGAGGCGCTTCGGCCGTCGGCCGTCGACTACGTTCACCCCAAGTGGGGGAACTCCGTCGACATAGGTGCCGGTGGATCTCTTAGAGGCCATCTCCAGCTCCATGGCAGCTATCCACTGAGAGGCCCAGGGTCCCTAGGTCGCCTCAGCGTAAGTGCGAGGGGTCGGGATGTCAAAGGCGTCTGGGTCACCCTCATGAACTAGCAGCATAGAGCAGAGATGGGGAGCAGCCTCGGACAGGAAAGCAAGCTCGTACTGCCTGTCCTCTATGACGTCACTGCCAAGGGGAGAAGCACCCATGACGGACGGAGGAAAGACAGGTTCAGAGACCAGAGCGGTGGCGTAGTCAAGGTGGCGGGAGCGACAAGAGCATCAAGACTCGAGAGAGGAACAGACAGGTTGGTAACGAGGGAGGCAAGGACCCGAGGAACAAGAGGACGAGCAGCAAGAAGGAAGTCAGACAGAGGGGGAGGCGCGACAGTGAGCAACGACAGAGGAGGCGAAGGCAGAAGAGGAGGACGAGACACATGGGAACGAAGCAACATAGGGTGAGAACGCTGAATAGGGGAGACAAGACGAGCACGAGAGGGACGGCGAGACGAGATAGGGACGGAGGTGTCAGGTCAGGAAACAGATGATCAGTAAAAGGAGGGGAACGAGGTGGGAAACAGGCGTAGGACGAGTCCAATGGAGGAAACACAGGACCGTGAACAGGAAGGGGAGGAGGCGGCGGGGGAGGCGCAGGCGAGCGGTCAGGGGAGGGAAGGCCGAGCATGCGAAGGGCGGACACCGGTGGCGACTGCTGCTGCTGCTGCTCGACGCCGACACCTGGACTGCCAGCTGCACCGCAGCTACTGCCAGAACACTCCACTCCAGCACCCCCAAAATGAGAACCCTCTCGAGCACCGGTGCTACCCCCAAGCCTGCCGGGACAAGCCACGACAGGAACTCCAGGACCAGCACCCTCCTCAACGCCAGCACCCCCCGAGGCCACGAACGTCTGCTGCTGCTGCGACGGCGGCGGCAGCTGCGGCGGTGGGGGCGGCTGCTGTGGAGGCGGTGACGGCTGCGGCGGCAGCGACTGCGACAGCGGAGGAGGAGAATTCGGGGGAGAGATAGGTGGCAAGAACTGTGCCGCAGGGCCACCACAGTCAGCCGACTACTCGACTGGGACAACCGACGTGAGACATACCAGACGGAGCAGGACTGGGAGGAAGATGAGCAGAGGCTATAGGGGGAGTGGGGACCAAAAACAGGGGAGGGAAATCGGGAGACTTCGGTGGGGAAAGCGGTGGTAAAAGGAGTCTGATTCGTCGAAAGTGGCATCACGGGAGTGAAAGAAGCGGTGAGACGGCGGGTGGTAAAGTGCGGAGTCCAGGGGGCAACCGAGGAAGACACAGGGGACAGTGCGTGCAGTGAGCTTGTCCGTGCCAGAGGCACGAACGTGAGCGAGGCAGCCCTAGACGTGGAACGTGGACGCTTTTCCAGGGAACCCGGTCCAAAGAAGGGTCGACAAAGCCTG